AACTTCAAAAGAAGCAGGCTTGGGGCGTGCTGGGGAGGATTCAGCAGGAGCATGTCCTGGGAGCAGGTTCTTGAGCTGGTGGAGGAGCCATAGGGCTCATCCTAGTGCTGTTTTTTCCAGGTGTGAGAGGAATATGGAGTGACCTGCAAACACGTCCGTCTGCTCCAGCCTGTCCCACTTTAACACCCTTCAGCAGCAACAGAATGGGGGATGCTTGTGCATGATTCCCCTTGAGAACTAAGCTAACCAGCCACTGGATGTCATTATTGCTCCAAACCAGTACACTGAAGAATCTATTCCAGACCTCCAAAAATATGTGAGTTTTCAGTATAGAAAGCTTAAAATGTGCTTCCTGAGGACGCAAATCCTTTCACCTCTTGTCCTGCAGCTCTTGTCTTCCCCAGCACACCTTCGCATGCTGGGGGACAGGGTGCCTGGGGTTTGGCACAGGGAGGATTCAATCCTGTGTGACCTTTCTGCCCTTCCCGGGAGCTCCTGCGCTACCTCCTCATCTGTAGGGATGACATCATGGCTGTTTCTGTAGCAACAGAAAGGGGCACTGCAATTCCTGAGTGGGATTGAGCAGGAGGGAGATGTTCCCCCACCCCAGCAGTGCCCCTGGCATGGCCCTGGGCTGGAGAGCAGAGCTGGCAAGTCAGAGGGCTTTTGGCTGGTAGCTGACCCAAGAAATCAGGAGGAAAAAAATTGGTTCAGTTTCCCCCCACTTCGTCTTTCAGCTGGGGACCACATCTGTCTCACTAGACCTGAACTGAAATATTTTGCTTTGGGTTATTTGACCTGACAAACACTTTTTCTGCCTTATTCCTGCTTCACTTTAAAAATGAGATCTGGTCTTAAAGCAAACTGCGCTTTGAAACCATAGTGAGAAGTTTCATTTACAGAGGGCAACATCCTCCCTCTGCCTCCTTCCCCCAGGGATTTTCATCGCAGTTTTCCCAAATTCAGCCTGATTTCACCAACAATTTTAGATTCTCAGATTGTCCATTTATTAGCTGGTTTGATATTTACTGAAAGCATTGTGCCTGGTTCGATTTGAGAGCTGATCAGGGGTTCAGCTGGTGCTTGACCCTCCTCCCTCTGAGCTGCTTGCAGGTCCTCTCCCAGCACTCCCAGCATAGCTGTGCCATCACAGCTGCCCATAAACTCTGGGACAGACTTTTCCCAATATACTGGGAAGTCTTGGGCATCCCATTTGCTGCTTACATGGTCAGGACTTTATGGGGGAGTGGAGAACAACTGCAGAGGAGGACTGTGTTTGCACCACAGTGAAGCACGGGGAGGAACTGATAATCCCCGGGGAAATCCAGGCACAGTGCTTGCTGGGGAGAGCTTCCATGTAGCCTCACTGATCTGTACTCTTTCATCTTTATGTGCCTACTTCTAACTTGCCCTATTTCACTTATATCCCTTTCACTGGCTTTTCTTCTTCCAACACAGCCATAAAATAAGCCAGGAAAACACCAACTGCTGCAAGCCTGGTGTAAAGAAATAATCCTGAAACAGCAGATCAGGATGTTCGTGGGCTGTGCCTCATCTCTAGCACTGCCTTGGGTCCCACAGACACCTCTGGCCAGCAGCAGCATCTTCAGCTCCCATTGCAAACCACTGCAAGGAGCCACAGGCCAAGGGAAAAAAATCATTCTGCTTAGCCTTGCTCTTACACTCTTGCAGAGAAGAGCTTGGGATAGGCCTTGGGTGCATGTTGGCAGAAGGGAAGCCGTCTCACAGCCTGGTAATAGCTCTCAGCATATGCCTGCACTCCCTGCTTGTTTTGACTTGCGTGGGAATCTTTGCAATCAAAATGATACGACAATTCCAATCATTGTTGATCGCTTTAGGCAGGTGTAATTCAAGCTCTGGCTGCAGACGGCTGTCATTTAATTAACAAGGAAAGAGCCAAAATTCTGTGTAAGACTGGGGAAGGCAAAGAGAGGAGCCTAAGGGGGACTTGGGATAATAGAAAGTGGAGGATGCCTGCAGACTTAGAGTTTAGCTGTTCCCCAAATCAGGTAACACCGACATTATTCCGTGTGTCACAGGCAGTGACATGTGCTCAGCAAGCTGTGGTAGGCAACACAATTATGCACTTATTTCAGTCCAAATCATGGGGAATTACTTGAGGACAACACAGAGGGAAGCCCTGCACAAGTCACTTCTCGATACTGTTACCAGCTCTAGGAACTCACAGTCTCTTTTCTCTTGCTGTTTCACCACTGATTTCCTTCCTGGCCTAGGCAGCACTTGCCCTCAGCCCTCCAGGGCCCAGCTCAGCTGGGTACAAATGGCTGCAGCTCTCTTTGGTTGGTGGAACAGTACTGGCCCTCCAACAGTGCAGAATTTGTCCCTGTCCTGCTCCCTTTGCAGCTGCTGACTTACCAAGGGTGGTATTTCTTTGCAGTGGGCTGTGTACTGTGTGTGCCTCTGCTTTCCACACTTCTGACCCAGATTTCAATTTTCTATACCTAAAATGAAATTAATAAGTCTTGTTACTGCAGTAGGGAAAGTAGTGGGCAGCAAAGGAAACACTTCAGTCCTGCTTATCTTGGGTAAAGTGAGCATGTTTTGAAACACTTTTCAGTTACTCATGTCCAGATAGTGCAATGCCTCACCTTCCGCAGCACCTGTTGTGCTCTCTCTCCCTCTTCTTGGTCACCTGGTGATGGGACATGTGTCCAGAGCTCACCTTCATCCAAAGGAAACCAAGGCACACTCCTGGCAAATACAATGTCACTGTGTGGAGATGAGCTCAGAGATCAGGCTGAGCTGTTTCAGCCCTTGGACCGTCCCATTATGGAATAACTAAGCCAAGGGGAAAAGTCAGTCTGTAAATACATGGATGAGCCAAGTCATCTAGAGAGATGTCAGAGGAGTTTTGTGTCCCTGCTCCAGCAGCTGTGGCAACATCCCTTCGCTCACACAGCCCCTCCACCCGGGATCCTGCTGGCAGCTGCAGCAGCCCACACTGCTGCACACAAACGCTGCCATGCTCAGGTGAGGGACCAAGGGAAAGAAAGACCTCCTGTGCTGGGAGCTGTTGAGCTGATGAAGGGATTCCCAGTTGCAGAGATGGCAGAAAATGTCACTCTGTTGTCCCTTAGCTCATGGGAATGCCTGTGTGCGTTGGTACAACCTTGCACTTGCATGACCCAGAGCATGCAGCATGTGGGACCTAATCCAGCTCAACAAAACAACCCTTGGTGTCTCACTCGGTGTTCTGGCTTCTGGTTTGACACCCCTGAGCTACCAGGATGGCAGGGCCTTGTACTCTTTTAATTTACTCCTGTCTCAGCAAATGGCTGTGGTACTAAGAACCAAATTTTGGAGAGAAGGGAGATGAAAATCCAGAGGAAATTGCTGGCTTCCCGCAGTGCTGACTCTGAGCTGTTTGATATTCTCTCTTTTTTAAGGTTTGCTTGTTTTAAAGCAACATTAATTGGAAAGATGCTGGAGTGTCAAATAGAAACCACTCCCTGAATAACCTCACTAATGAGCATGTTATTAAAGCAGGGTTAGGAGCTCCCTAGAGGGCTCTCACTGGATAGGATTAAATTAAAAAAAAAATCATCTAAACTAGACAGAAAATCTCTGTTAGTCTGCAGTGATGAATATAGAAAAGTCCAATGAAAAGTGGCTTTGAAAGGTTTAAGGTATGTCTTCCTATCTGGGACTAGACTTCTCCCTCCCTCAGGGCTCACTCAGGCAGGGAAGAAGTTTTTAATGAAGCAGAGGATGGAGGACTTGCAGCTCAGAGCCTGGCAAGCCCACTCTCCAAGTGGTCACATCCCCATGCTCTTGGCACTTGCCCATGTAGTCAGCAAGGGCAGTCCAGGGTGGATAGTCTCTCTGCCCAAGCAACGTGGCTTGTGGAAGGCAAGGGCCAGCAGAGATGGGGATGCTGAGAGCCTGTGTCAGGAGACGAGAGGGTGCCTGTCAGATCAAAGTTTTGCTTTAATCTGACTCCTTTGGAGCAGTTTCCCAGTAAAGCCCTGTGCTGCTCCACCTCTGAGGTGATGGCATATCATAACTCCCTGTTCATCTGCCTTTCCCTTGGGTCTGGAGGCACTTAAGAGAGCAAGGACACAGCAGTAGTTCTAGAGCAGATGGGGCTGTGGGATGTGGTCACTCATCCATCCTCTGACAGCACTGTGGGGATGCTGGTCCCCACCCCATCTCTGTGTTCAGCCAGCCCAGGAGCAGTGGCCGCTGGAGCAGCTTTGGACAGGGATAGTGAAGGAGAGGTTTTGTGATTCCTGGTCCCTTCTCTCCTGCTGGAAAGGATGTGGGAGGATTTAGGGCAGAAAAACTGTTCTCATACCATCTGAAGGCAGGCATGAAATGCTTTAGCAAAGCTTCCCTGCAGGCAACAGCGACTTCCAGAGCAATTCCAGCTTTTTTGTGGCTTGCCCTCGCTTCCTGTGAATGGTGGGCAGGTCAGCCCTGCCCCAGCCGCAGCGGGGGGCTGGCTGGGGAGCTGATTTACTGCACCTGCAGACGAGGAGCTTCATAGCTTAAGGCCATTCTTTGCCTGCATTACCATGGAGCACATTTTCAGGGAAGCTTGGCTGCCTGGGCTGCTCCTGCCCAGATATTTGGACTGTGCAGGCGTGAGCACCTTTTCAGGGAGGATTTTGTCCATGTGCAGAAGGAGACGTATTGCCTGCCTTTGCAAAGCACTGTCTGACAGCCTGATGCAAAACATGCCAGCACCAAGCTGTGACTCTAAACAAAGAGAGGGAAAGCACTGTATTTTTATTTTCTCTGCTGCTGCAGAGAGTTGGTTTTTTTCTTTCTTCTTGTTTTTTATTGTTTATTTTTCTTTTCTTTTCTTTGCCTGAGACAGGAATTTGGATTCTCTGTGCTCCCCAAACTCTTCCCTGGGCTGTCTCCAGCAATCAGACAGAGTGACAGCTCTGAAACTCTCCAAGTTAACAAGTTCAAGTGCTGATGATTAACTAGATTCACAAAGTTGATTGGAAAAAAATAGGGATATAAATAAATATTCCTGGAGATATTCCACCCCCTGTAGTCATGAACTTTGAATAATTGGAGGGAATTATGCTGAGTACTAATCAAAAGGTTTTTTTTTTTTAATTTGCTAATTACTGCTGGGTTTCATCAGTGTCAGACTCTAATCATCTCAAGACATGTTAATTGACCCTTGGGAGTTGTTTATCTGATGCAGAAAGTTTTAGATGGGGTCACACAAAGAAATGCAATCATTGAGGTTACTTCTTGCCTGCCACTCAGACAGAGAGAAGAGTTAAAAAGACTTTGGGCTATGAGGATGTGGGCATTGTCTGAGCTCCAGAATGGCTCTTTGTGGGCACTGTGGCTTCCTCCGTCCATTGGGGACCTTCTCTTTCTTGTGCCTTGCACTTCAGTGTCCTCCCTGCCAGCCTCCTTTTTGTTGTACACACAGACAGTAACTTTGGTGATCCATATGCAGTGAGTGCTAACAGTGACATCCCTCCAGGATGTGGCAATGCTGTAAGGCTGTTCCTTTCATGTAAGGTTTATGGTGCTCCAGGAGTGGGCTGAGGGTCCTGCTGTGGAGCTTCCGGGGCAGTTTCACAGCCTGGCTGCCTCACCTGTCTCGTGTCCTGTTAATTAAACCAGAGGAGGTGGGAATTAGTGGAATAAAAGGTAGGGCAGTGGGGAGTAGGGAAGTACTGAGTGAAGGGCTGACAGTTCAGCAAGTTTCTCAAGGGCAGGTCTCAGGAATACCAATGTTTTCATCATATAATGTTTTAATTAATGACCTTGGTATAAAAATTAGTCTTATGCTAATGAAATGCTCTGGAGATGCAATGCTGCGAAATATCCTCAATAAGAGGCATGTAATGTCATACCAGAAGACCTGGGTGATCTCGACATGAGTAGAAGTGATTAAATCTAAGAGTGCCAGCAGTGCAAGGTCGCAGACATAAGGGCAAATGAGGAGAACTTCTGCTACCGACTGGGAACTGAGCAGCAGTTTGGGAAAAATGCCTGAGTCACATAGTTAATGGTGGGTGACCACACTGCAGAGATGCAACCGAGCCCCAGGACAAGTCTGTTGTGTCCATCTCAGTGTCACAGCAAGAAGTGGATATAAGTCAAATACAGGAGAAGAGGAGCATTCCCAGGTGGTGTGTTACCCCCGTGGCATGTAGGGGCACCACCAGGAGCTGTACCAGGCTCTGCACATCTGCTGGAGGCACAACTTCCCTCTGACAGTGATGGAACGACCGGTGTTCCCATTGCTGACTGATAATATTTCACCACCTCTTTTGCACCCGTTTTCATTTTGATTCCAGGATAATTTGTATCAGTTTATGAAATGAGGCTTTTCCTTCATTGCAAGAAAACACAAACCCAACCGCGACACCTAGGTATAATTGACTTAAGGCATATACAGGCGTGAGTTTTTATTTGATCACCTTCATTTTTCTAATTTCCCCCTTTCCATCTTCTTTTCCCTCTTTATTATATTGCTGGCTGTTGGAGGCCCTTGAATAGAAATAAACTTTCTATGTAATATTTCTTAATAAAACCCATCATTTATTATTGTTATTCTCTACCAGTAAATGCCGAGCTCCTTCTCTCATTTGTTATAAGTCCAGATTAACATCTTTTCTGGCAAGGTTGGGATAGATACCTGAATATGACAGCACTTGTGTCCCATCCTGGCTGTACCCAGCTGTAGGTGCGTTAACGTAGATCAGGTCTCAGTCACCAGCAGCATGTCACATGCTGCCACAGCAGGACACAAAGTATGGAAGAGATTTTTTTCAGGCTCCTGTGTTTACCATGTAGCAGTGAGAGATAGAAAGCTCCTGACAGTGGCATCTGATCCTGCACCCCTTGTTACCCTCAAGTCAAGCTGTTACTTGTTTAATCTCAGCTCAGATGCTTCAACAGTTCACCCAAAAGTAGAGGTAGAGATTTCTCTGGAAGACGCTTGAGCCGTTGTTTACTGTATTGCCATTTCAAAGAAAAGCCTTTTGTGTAAAAGACACAAAAATAACTAATAACGTTAATATAAACATATACTTTAACTACTGTTTAAAGCTGTCACTGGGTTAAAATAATCTCCAGTGCTGCATCCCAAATGCACAGTAATTATGTGGCGAATCTCTTTATTACAGGGTGTCAATCAAGCAACAATGTGGCTGTGAGTGAAATCGCTTTGCGTCTCCACTGATATTCCCAGCACAGAGCTGCAGGCTCCACGATGCTTCTGAAGGTCTGTGTGCCTGTGCCCAGTTTGTCTGATTAAAAGGTGGCCATAGGAAGGAGAACTGGGCACAGCAACTGCGCTTGGCTTTTGGGGAAGGAAACGATTCTGCAAAGTATCTGTCCATCTTCCTGTATCAAAGGAAAACACACAGAAATACTTGTCCTAATTATGCAGCTGGCCAGTGGCTCGTGGCATCCCCACGCAAGGGCCAGAGGGGAGGTCAGGGCAGCCAGGTTAATTCTGCAGCTGGGGTCTCTAGACCCCAGTGGGTGAAGCAGATTATTTGAGTTTTGGCCTGGAGGCTGCAGAGTTTGGGCTCTTCCAGCAGTTACTTTGGGAAAAAACTGCTTAATTTTATGTCTAAACACAGTAGTGAGATTCTGCTTTCCACTGGAGTTTGTAACCCCATCGATCCTCCCTTTTCTAGGCTGGGAGCTGGAGAACAGATGCCAACCCCTTAACCTCTTGGAGTCAATGGGAGAATGAGAAACGCAGCTATTTCCTCACCTGGAAAAGGTTTTTGCTTCATTTTCTTCTGCTGCCACTGTCAGCTGCTGGGATCTCATCTGCAACTTCTGCAGGGAGAGAAATCCTCAGAGAGAGACACAGCATGCATCCTCTGGGACTGCACAGCAGCAGGGACTGCATGGCTGCAACGAATCTCTCCTTCTCCCACCCTTCCTGGCTGTTGCCAGGTAAATCTTCCCTTTGCTTCTCCTCTCCTAGTTTCACTCCTTCTCTACTTCCATTCTTTTGACCCTCCACTTTTCATTTCATTTTCCCTCTAACACCACCTTCCCCCTGTCCACGCTCTAATATTGGTGGGTCAGGCAATTTTTGAGCAGAGGTTACAGAAATAACCCCAGGTTTTGCTGCGTGACTGTCTTTCCACAAGGAGGGTTGGAGAAATGCATTTCCATGTGTTCTTGAGCGAGGCCCAGGGTTGGTGGCTCAAGCCTGGCAGTTGGGGTGAACACAGGCTGTGTTCTCGGGGGGGAATGTGGGTCCAGTGCAGAGCAGTGAGGGATGGGTTGGGCTTGAGGCTGGAGGTAATGCTTTTCCCAGAAGCCTCTAGTCCCAACCTGGCCAAGGTCAGAATTTTCTCTGTCATCCCACCTGTCTATCATCAGATAGACAGAGTGGCCTCTCTTGTACACAGATCTTTTGGGTAGGACCAAAAATCCCACATCCTTGCTGGTTTGTGAGGGTCTGAGGAACCGAGGATGTGATTTTTTTGGTCCAAATTCCCCCTTCCTCTCCCTTGTAAGTGGGGTGGTGGCTGCTCTGCTCCTGCTTCCCACCAGGGCTTGTGTTTCAGCAGCTCTCAAAGGACATGATAGCAAATCACTTTGGGAACTGTTTATAATAAAAAGTGCAATACAAACAGATAATATCATCATACTCCACTATTTAACAGGCTTAAATCCCAAGGATGGGGAGAAGCTCCTGTGGAGAGCAGAGCTATCTCTCAAACACTTCTGCTGCAATTTAAAAGCACTCCCTAGCCTGGCAAGGCTAATTTCTCATCTTTTTTCTCCAGGGAATATATCTGGGTTTCTCCCTGCTTGAGGCCAGAGCCCTCCATACTGATTAGATTCATGCAGGGGTTTTGATTATCACTCTTCTTGAGTCCTGATGGAACACAACAGAGGTGCCCAGCTGGGCTGCATCCCACAGCCCACCTGCTGGTGCATCCCCTTGGTAAGGACAGACCCTGGGGTGGTAAATTGTTTTCTTTCATCAGACCCCACTCACCTCCAGGTACAAGGTACTCCTCACAGGAAAACAGTTCCAGTCTCCCACTCTCCCACCCAGGATTAATCCTGGGCTATGACCAAGAATCACTTTACAAGAAGAATGTGTGGGATGGTTGCAACAATCCCAATGTCACCAAATCAGCTGTGAGGTGGGCAGGACATGCTTGCTGAGTGGTGTCCCCGAGAATGTGCCCCTTCTGGGGAGTCTGGCTGCTATCTGGCTCATCCTTCCTCCTGCCCTGCTGACCTGCCTCCCAGTCTCCTCTCCTATCCTTTTGTGGGTCTCTTCACCTTCTGGTGGGATGATTTAAGATTCCTCTTGTGATGTGGTGGGTGAGACCACCACTAATGCCCGCAGTGGCACAGGGGAGGGATAACTTATGGGAGCACTGGGCTGCACCTACCAGGGCAGGCACTGAGGACAGCTGTGACATCATTGCCCCTTTGTATTTATTGCTGCCACTGCATTCCCTCACTGATCTGAACAGGAAGAGTCTCATAGGTGATGCAGGAGAGTCAGTAAAAACAAAATAGAAAAGGAGAAAAGCATGAAAGGCAAAAATCCTTTTCCTAATTAAGCCCAGATGTCCCACCCTTTCAGTTGCATTGAGGGGTGGAAATTGCTTTCTCAGGTTATTTCTCTGGCTGGAAAGGTATTTATATCCAAACGTTGCTGGTGTGGTTGGTGTCTTGACTGGGCTTTTCCATTTCAATGGCCCTTCTGGAAGAGCCAAGTTTTCAAGCGTTAGGTTTGGTTTCCGCTTTGAACAGTGACTCACTGAGCCTTAACCTGGGTCCTTCCTGGTGATGCACAGGAAGGCAGCGGGAATGCCAGGGATGAAGAGTGGGTGAAGGGATGTTCTCAGCAGAAGGAATAGTAAGGGTTGAGGGGTTGTGCTACAGCTATAGCCCCATAGTGCCTCCAGGAGGGCATCTCCAGTTCTTGCCACTCACTCTCCTGCCAACACCAGCTCAATGCACGACCGGGCCCCAGCTCAGACACCTCTTAGTTCTGACTGGGTTTAAATCACTGCGTTTCCCTTCCTCATTTCTTCTGCACTGGGGGCTTTACCCCACTCAGCGTCATTTCCCTGCTCATCTCCGGCTCAGGCAAGGCAGGAAACGTATTTTCAATGTATTAATTAAAGTGTCTTTGCAGCAGAACATCTGCATGGAGAGCGATAGATCACCGAAGTGTGCGTGTGCCTGCGCGTTGCAGGCTCCCAGATAACGCATTGCTTTGCATAATTTATTCCAGCCAGCACAGCAATAATTTTCATAGCCTGTGATCTTCAAGTATGCGATTATCAATCTGCAACCCAGCTCCACGTGACCCAAACATTAGATTATTCCCAGATAAAGGAGAAGCAGGATGTTTGGCTCTCCATCAGCTCTGGCCAAATGGGTTGTGTGGGATGAGATCAAATGCTGTTTTGTTAGATCCCACCATGCCCAAGCAATGGGTCGGTCTTCTTGGGTATTCATCACTGTCAGCTATTTCGGGAGAGGATTGTCTTTGCCAATGATGCTTTTCAATTTCCTGATTGTTCAGCTCATATCAGTTTAGTTTGAAAGATAATAAGATAGAAACCAGAGACTTTCCAGTCAATAAAAGGAAACCTCAGAGGCTTTTTTGGTCTTGCATCTGTCATACTTTGTTGATATTTTAGCTGCTGAGCATTTGACAGCTGGTTGTAAAACTCTTATTTCTCCTTTGAGAGAATTAAATGAAGAGCATTTAATTTATTCCATGGAGGATTCCCCAAGTGACCCATGAAACAGGTCACTTTCTGGCAGCTGGGCCAAAACTGGAGAGATTTGGAACTTTCTCCACCCAGGGGAGAAAAAAAAAAAGTGATTTCATTACCTCTTCCCTTTCTTTTTTTCATCATCAAAACAATTCTGTGTTTTCCAGCATTGATCCTACCTCTCATTAGTACCACAAACCACTGCTGGCATCTGTGTGGCCAACATGGCCCTGCCAGTGACAACCAGTATCCCCTGGGTGAAGATCTTGATGCAGGATTGCACTGGGTTTCATCCATCTCCAGGCACTGGTGCAACTGGGAATGGCACCTGGGAGCATTTCTCTTGCAACAGGCACGTGGTGCTCCCCCATCAGCATGGACAGACACGTAGGTGGGTGCCCAGCACCATCACTGGAGACATTCCAGCCTGTTTAGCAGGTCAGGACATTAAGGGGCTAATGGTTAATGTCATTAACCAATATCAGGCAAAAGCTCCCTTAACTGTGCCAAGGGCAGGCAGCTGCTCAAAGCAGCACAATAATTATGTATAGACCAAGTAATTATTTTTGTCACATCTTCCTGGCAGGAGAAGACCGTTTGTGGGATGGGTTTAGCTACCTTCTGCAACACGCCTGTGTCTTATTTATCCAGAACAATACACTCAGTGTGATTTTTCTGTCATCTTTTTCCTTTTAACGTCGTTTCCAGCCCACACTGCTTTTAATTCGGTGAGGTAAATTGAGACTGGGAGGGGAAGCTGCAGAAATCCTCCAAACTCCCATTCTCTGAGCAAAACGTTCCCCCCGGGATCTGACGGCGTTGCTGAATAGCTGGTCCTTCCCTTCCCAAGGGGCTTGTGAGTCTCGGCGGAGACAAATGTTATTTTGGATGGCTGTAGTCGCTGCACGGCCGGGTCTCGTCGCAGGATCTGCTCGCAGCTTTGGAGCCTCCCTGGCGGCTCCTTCCTTACCTGGGGACCTGTGAGAGAGCAGCCCCGGTGCTGTGCCGTTTTGAATGTCGTGCCAATGAAAGGGACATTACCAGAGCGCTGCCTTCGGAGTCCTGGCGCTGGGCTGGTGTGGATGGAGGAGAGTTGCTCCCTACACTCTTATTTCAAGGATGCACTCAGCCTGCCTGGAGCCAGCTAAAGAAGATGAAGGACTTGGAGGTCTCTGCTCACGGGATCCTGGGGAAAAGGAGATGTTTTGAACCCATTTCCATTCTCTTCCTGAATGCATTTTTGTTCTGGATCTCTGGTCAGTCTTAAAATAAGAGAAGAAGCTGAGATGGTGTCATTAATTCCAAATTTGGTGGATTGAATAGTTGGATTCCCATCTGAATTTCTGATTTGTTCACCACTTTCACCCATCTCCAGTTTTTTCTTCTTTTCAGAGCTGAAGACTTAAGATGTCCACAGTCCTGTCTTGTAGCTTCACCTACACATCTTGGCTGTTTGTCCTTTCTCCCCATCTCTCTTTGGCCCAAAACACAAATGACCCTTAAATAACCAGGTGGCCACACACAGGAACCAGTAGCCAGTCTCCATGGTGGCAGTCAGACATGTTACTGCCATTTCCCCTTGTTGTGGACATCCTGAAAATGCAGCTTGAAGGTCCTGATAAAGCTTTCCCTGTTCGGATTTCTCACCCCTCACCTGAGGAGTTGCGCAGCCTTGAAAGGCACGCTCTGTTTTGCATGGGGACAACGTCCAAATCTGCTTAATACATGAGTCCTCACTCAGAGGTGTCCTTTCAGTTACTGCTTTCACCATCAGCAATCCATAAAAGTGTAGGGTGCCTTAGGGAATCGCTTGCTTTAACTCCTTTGCCTTGGTAACAGTGTGGCTGCTCCTGGTGCAAACAGGCATCTCCTGCCCCCCTCCCTGCCATGTCAGAGCATCGCCCATCCTCTGTCTTGGCTTTCTCCCTCCTCCTTCCTCTTCCTCTGGGTCTACTTGCTATAACTATTGGAATGGATATAGTGGCAATTTGGGGAGAAGATGCTGTTTAAAGCTCTTTAATTTAAAGAATGCTAATTCACTCCATCCTCGGGCGAGTTATCCAGTTATGTGGAAGCCTCCTTTTCTCTGGGTGTCAAATAAGAGGGTGATTTTTCTCAGTCCATATTTAGAGGCTTTGCTGAGCCCATGGCCCATAGGGCATCCTACAAGGAAGCTCACAGGAGGCAGAGACACTTTGGCATCCCCATAGAGCTGGGATGCCGCCATGGATGCTGCAGCCCTGGCCAGGATCTGTCTGGTGCCAGCCCCTTTTCCTGAAAACTGCCTTGTCTCTCCTGCTTGGAATCACAGAACAGTGGGAACCTGAGGTGGGCTGTGTTCAGCAGCCAGGGATCAGTGTGAAGGCAATTTCTGGGAATAGTAATGAGAAACTTGGCTACAGATCTCCATCTCAGGTCGGGTGCTCCAAGCACTGTAGCTAACCCATGTGAAAAATTGGCTGGAGACCTTCCTGTAAACCAGGTGCTGCTTCCAAGACAACTGGATAAATAGTCCTTCAAGCCAGGGGGGCAGCTCCAGAGAGAAGCCACAGGGTAATTCCCTGTGTTATAAAGACCCCTGCAGTCACCATCCCAAATGATTCCTGTCCTGTGCCCATGTGTGCTCCATTCTCTGTCAGGCTGATCCACCTGTCCCCATCCAAATGCTCTGCAATCTTCCCCCGTGTGATATTGTGGGATATTCCACAACATTAGCAAGTTGAACATGTTTTTACTGCCCAATGTCTCTCCATGCAATATTTCACTGTCTCGCTGGCTATTATCCTGGCGGCACAAAGTCCCATTGAAATTCATGGTGCAAGTCGCCCATTTGTTTCCTTTGAGCTTTGCAGGGTTGTTCTATGCAGCTTTATGCATATCATTTTTTGCTATGCAAAGTGAGGGTAATGACTTTACCTGCTCTCTTTCAAAGCACTGAACAAAGCCTGTCCCCATGCTGTAGACTGATTTCAGAATATTTGTTCTAGGGTTTGAGAGGGATGAATCAGAGCTCTTAGGGAATGTGCAATCTGATGCTCTGTAAATAAAAAGTAAGTCGTGCTGCATCTACATGTCTCCAAGGCAGGCATGTGCTCTCTGTCAACCTTTCTTGCTGGGATCAGCTTCAGGGATGGCTTTGGCAAAGCAGAATAGCTTCATTTTAATGACAGCCCTGGAATAGCGTCACTTGTTTTGGCCAGTGCCACTGACAAGCCTTGGACTAGCTCTGCCTTTTGAGGGACAGATATGTCCCTCATGAGTGACAAGGTGAGGCTCACCAAGCAAAGGGTCACTGAAGATATCCTCTAGGACATCAGGGGTGTAGGAGAATTGAAGGCACAGCAGCAAAGGAAAAGTTTTGCTCTGAAGACCTTTAGATCCAGACTGACTTGCCTCTGTCACCACCCCAAAGGAGACTAAACCTCAGGTACCCACGGCACAGCGTTGGTGTCTGAAATGGTGCCTGAAATGAGGCCCCCACATCAGTGACCACTTGTAAATATGGGGATCGTGATGTCTCTGCTTGGATCTGTGCAGTGACAAGGAGGGCAGAGACAAGGCTTTCCTCTCCATCCACTGCTGTTTGGACGTGGCTAAGCAAGCAGGGTGGATTTTGCCCTGCATGCATGGTTCGAACTGTGTGTTTTGCAAATTGCAATTTGAAGATCTGGTGG